TTTTGGGTCGCCCGTTGCTCGCGCTCGCTGCCGCGCTCGCCGCCCGCGCCGCGCAGGCCGCGCTCCCCGCCGGGCCTAGGTTTTTTCCCACCACGGTGTATCTCGCATGTCGCTCCACCTCCCGCTCATCGATCGATTTTCTTAAATGCCTCCCGAGTCCGGCCTACCGTCTCCTGCATCCTCATTCGCTCAAACGTATAAATTTCTTTGTCGGTAACTATTGTTACTTTGTACCTCGGTACATGATATTTCTCCTTAGTTTAACCCAATCTACCGCTATTTGCAAAGTGGCTACTTTTGCATCAGACACCCTGTATAGAATAATATAATTATAACTAATAATTATATTAAAATATCTTACAGATGAAGAAGCAAGTTCAAGTAGCTCAACCCGTAGAAACACACTGCATAAACACCTTAATTAAATACACAAGAAAACACACAAGAAGAAAATACTACATTAGAAGATATAACTATATTTAATGAAAAGGGAACACAAACATCTTTGTCACTATCTTCTACATCTCCGCGAAAAGTACATCTTTATCAAGAAATCAAAGGATATAAAAGAAGAATAGCCAATTTGGAATTAGAATTACAAAAAGCGAAGAAAGCGAAAATGGAAGATATTAATGCATTAGATATATTATTGGACAAATATTTTCCAAATCAAACCTCTGAATTTTTAAAAATGCAAGTACGTCTCTTTCAAAAGGGTGCAAAAGGTAGAAGATACGATAACGCTGCATTTAAACAACTTTGTTTATCTATGTATTTTTCAAGTCTGGTTTAAACATCAGACAGAAATTTATGTTAATGTAATTTTAAAATTTGCAGCACAATCCTAAGAAATAAGCGTGGCATGGGCACGCACAAAGTGGAGACTTTATCGGCAGTGGCAAAAGATGCATAGCAAAAAATTCTGTAAAGACCGGGACGGAAAGATAAGATAGCTATACTGAGAAAAATTTCCATCGGATAAACCAATTAAATAGTGCTTCCGATAGTTCATTTTCTCCGATTAAATTATGGAATTTGATTGAAAAACCGATCATATTTTTCATCGGATATATCCGTTTGATATTATGTAATTGGATTACATTTAATCGAACATTTTTCTCAGTGATAGATAATGCCGGAACCGCCTCAATTGTCCGGTCTCTAAAGGCCTGCGTCCGCGATACTAGAACTTGGTCCAAGCTCCGAGGAATGTGTAGCCAATCAACTTGCAGCTATTCCATAAAAGTAAAGTAAAGTAAAGTGTGCAAATTAGAAATTTGCACATTGCTTCTTCAGCATTGAAGCGTGCAAATTGGAAATTTGCACATTTCTTCCTCATCATTAAAGTAGGCAAATTAGAAATTTGCACATTGCTTCCATTGTTATGTCTTCCTCATAGAGGAAGCTTTAAGAGAGAAATCTAACTTTACTACGATGTTTCTTGAAAGTATTCAAATTAGAAATTTGCATATTCTTACTTCGCTCTTAAAGCTTCCTCCATGAGGAAGCCATGTGCAAATTTCTAATTTGCACACTTACTTTTTTCTAATTAGAAATTTGCACATTGCTTCCATTGTTATGGCTTCCTCATAGAGGAAGCTTTAAGAGCTAGTTCCAAAAGTAAAAATGGGCGTAAGGGCACGCAAAACGGTCTTCTGAAAATTCTGAAAAGGTATCAAGTAGAACGCCGGCGTGGTCGCTCTCAGATTTCTCTCTGGCAATACTTTTAATTCATTTTTGTTTTTCATGTAAAATTGATCATTCTACACTTTAGTTATATGCATTCTTTAATTATGTAGAAGAATTTTGCATTTTTATAAAGCCAATTCAACAAAAATAGTTAATAAAAAATTTATGTACTAAAAGTAAGTAATATCTTGTATTCCTTTTCGTTTTTGACGATAAAATGGACCGTCCTACCCTTTATTTTTATGCGTACTTTAATAGTATACGAGAATTTTGCAATTTTATAAAGCCAATTCAAAGATTAGTTAAAATAAAAACATGTAGTAAAACAGAATGCTTTAGAATCTTTATTTAAATTTTAAGAATTTAAAATAAATTTTAATTTGGTGAAATATATTTAAAAATTTAGTAAAATTTATAGAAAATGGAGTTGATTAAGTTTGAAAAAATTATTCGAGCACAAAGATAAGTGTCTTTTCATACAAGTAGGTTTAATAATAATAAAAGGAAGCGATATAGATATTGGATGTACATTCGATCAATACCAGACACATGTGATGAGATAATGACATTTAATATCCCAATTCTCATACATTGATGTCAATATAAGAAATACGATTTCACTCGCTTTGTTCAATCTGATGCTAATTAGCAAACAACCGCTCTCCTAGTGATCAATTGACAATTACTTAGCGCTTCGCTCCAAAGTGTAGTCGTCTACAAAATTAGATGTCGATCACAGCCTATCCGAGACTTTGCCACTCATTATCCTCTCGTCGAATTAAACACAAAAATACCTAGTTAAACTCGAATTCCCTCGCATTCCTCACAAGAGAAATTGAATCGTAGTCTCTGGGATCTCAGTCTCGAGTTACTTGTTAAAGTATACAACCTCGTATACTGACTTTCTCTCTCTCTCTGCTATCTTTTCTCCACCAGCTTTACCAATTATACGCTTGTTCGTACAAATTATTATTCTAGCAATAAATATATTAGATCGCTTAGAACAACCTAGACGCGTTAGTCCATGTGCCATATGTATGTAATATAAATTATAAATACGACAAGCACAGGAAAATAATAATACGAAGAAATCCGATTAATCCATACGCCGATTTCTTCGTATTATTATTTTCCTGCTCGACTCCTCTCGCAAATTCTCTTTAGTTCACTGTAGCTGCCGCGACAGATGGTTGCGTTTTCTGATGTGTTGCTTGTAATAGGTCAGAACAGGAGTCCTTCGTCGTAGTAGGCGGCAGTTTTCTCAGCCTCTGACATGCTACCGGTTGTTGTAGAGCCGTCGTTTCGAAAGAATCCGCCTCGTTATCCATTTTAACATTCTGATGCCGGACACTACATTGGCAGGAGCTCGTATGATGGTGGTGCAATCGCGCGTAGCAGTCGCTACACACCCTTACGGGATTGTAGAGCTGCTCGCTAGGTAAGGGGGTAGAGTTCTCGGAGCAGTCGGCACAAAAAATCTTGCCACAGCATCTGTATATAATATAAAATGAGTTTAAGAATTACACAGCTAAACAAAAGAGAACCAAAGAAAAGAACATTCTTTTTTACAATGCTTAATGCAATTTTGTGCTCAAAAGTATTCTATAATTTAACAATTTTGAATCATTTAAAATTGTGATCGTGTCAAAAAGGAGCGTTGAAAAAGAATTTAGTATAACTATAACTATATGTATGATATATCGAAAACGTTATTTATCATTTTCTGTTTCACAATTAAAAAAATTATGAAAATTGCTAACTCTAAAAAATATTTAATATGTGCAAACTATGGCTTCTATAGCTGAATTCTGTAATTCGTTATGCAATGTTGTTGTTATTATATTGTTGCACGGGATTTTTACCACGTATTATACATATTATTATACCTGCACAACAACAATATAACGACGACACTGCACGAGTTACAAAATTTCAGCTACGAGACTCGCCACGGCTGTGTTAGAAATAGTGATGCCAAAGGCGAGAAATGACACGTTGAGAATTTCTTACGCGCTATTTATAAATAAAAAGATATTCGGTTGAAAAAAGTTTAGATTACGGTACACTTATAAAATTTTTCAAAACTTTTCCTCTTTTTTCCCTTAACAATTAATAAACCATAAAATGTATGAATTTAATACAAATTAAAGGTTGGTAGTCCGTTTATACAAGTTTATTTAAGATTATCTTAAGTATAAAATTTTTGGAAAGCTATCCTTTTCCTTTTCATTGATAGTCAATAAACATCTATAAGATGTGAATGTATAATAATATGACATCTATACATAGACCAAGCATTCCTATGTTTTTGCTATGGAGGAGGTGAAGCCTCGGAAGTTGCAGATAGAAATACTTAATTTGCATCTACCGTTTCTTTACTTTAATACATATGTATATAGCGACTTTGAATAATAATGTGCAAAAAGTAATTAACTAACAATTTAAAATTTAATATGTGAATTGATATGTGGATTGAGGGAGGTTTCAGGTTCGAATCCTGACCGAGGTAATATTTTTTCGCAATAAGATTTCTATCTCAATACAGGGAGGAGGGATATTGTATTAAGTGCTATTTATTAGCATTTTTAAATAATTAGAAAATTGCTCATCGATTTATAATACGTGAATTTGCTGACGATTTCACCTAACGAAAACCTGTGTTACGTCCGGCGCGCATGGTAGGTTGAAAAAACGGCATATGAATTCACATATTAAATTTAACATGATTAGACTACCTTCAGCTTACCCGAACCTAAGTAATGACTTGGCGTTCTCGTTTCTATTTGATTTATATCCTAAAGGTTCCTGATTTAACTTGTAAAATTTTTCGAAAAGATTGTACCGTGTTGATTGTGTAAATTGAAATTGTATTAGGAATAAAAAGAGAACTACACTAAATTATTTTCTTTTTCGAATATAAAAATTAGCCATTGATTAAATTGTTTTCTTATCACGCAAAATGCGTACCTGCAGTGATGTTTACGCCTACCAAGCCAGAATTCTGTATTACAACCCATGCATCGGGTCACGGCATGATCGGGCACCCATAAGGTAGGCGCGGGACCTAATTCTTCCACGGCTTCCCAGGACATATCTGACGGTAAAGATTCTCCGTGTTCCCCAGCGCTACCCACCGAATCAGGTAAGGAGCCCTGCAGGTCATTGCATACAATTTTGTTTTTACTGTATTGTATACACGTACACAAAGACCAGCCACCAACCAAAAGGCTCGACTTACTATGTCGTCGATACGGTCGGTATCTGCATTATGATTGCAAACTTGCTTGATTAGTGCCAATCTCGTTGTGTGCAATTCCTTTCTCAAAGCTTCTTCCTTAAGCTAGGAAAGTAATTAAGAGTTAAATAATTATAACAAAGGTAATTAAAAACAAGATCATCTCTCCTGTATATGTCACCAGATACTTTTAAGAAACATATTAGAAGTGTACAAAATACCAGTGACTGCTACTCAAGTACCTTATGTTCTACGATAATCTGTTGTATTCGCATTTGCACGTCGCAACATATGACAGGAAGACCGTCAACGTCGTCCAGCCAGTCAGGATTGTCTAGCACAACATCCTGATGGCTCGGAGAAGCCGGGCATATGCTACTGGGGGTTCTTGATATCAACGGAGCGCTGGCGTCACTCATATCACTACCTTCATTGTGATTGCGATTGCACGAAGAACAAACTACCTGTGCAGTAGTACCAGTTTCAATCCACGGTGAAACAATATCGTGCGACGAACTCGTACGTAGTCTATAAAAGTTTCAACAAACTTCATAAATATATGCTTAAAAATCTGGACACCATAAAGATATAAGAAAAATGTACACTTACATTTCTTTCTCTCCGTTCGTCACCGGAACGACGGAATCATTATTAGGTATCAAAGTGTCAGTGGAACTATCTACCGAAGGATTAGCAGGCGAGTCGCTGGATGTTTGAATAACGATATCTCGTTTTACTGTGGTTTCAGTTTCTGACAAGTTCTCGCTAACGGTTTCGTTCTTGTTGTCCATGTTCTTTGTATTCTTTTCATCTGCCTCAGTCTCAATCGCCAAAGAGTCAAATTTCCTGCGACAGAAGCGTATGAGAAAAATGTAAAAAACATGCCAGCTTATCGGCTCAAACTATATCGTTGATCGCATACTTTTCCATAGAAATACTCGGATCGCTACGCCTCCGATGCAGATAAGCCGCGTGATCGGGCGCGTGCATAAGGTCACCGTACGACCTCGTCTTTGTCATTTGTCCCTGAGGCTCCTCATTTTCACCACCCTCGAGGTCTATCACCGTCATTCTTTGCTTATCGTCTCTCATACCTAGCGACGATTCCATGGAACCTAGATAAACCTCGGACCATAGAACAAGATCGCGTACGTTACAGCTCGGCCATAATACCTAGAATAATATTAAAAAATCACCATTGTTTGAAAAAATCGTGCAAAATTTAAGTAGAATTGTATTGATCTTATGACACTTTGCCACGTACTTGATTCTTCAACGGCGAGTACAGATGATTTACAAACGCAGTCGAGTTGAGGAAACGCCAAACTGAAAACGTACGCTCGCGTATTCTCAGCTGTAACCTCTCCTGCCTGGTGTTGCACAAAAATGTGCCGAATAATTGCGAATACGTATGTTGGGCTAATTTTACCTGAAACATGAATATAGCAAATCACTCAGAAGTGATTTCTTCGACACATCTTCTCTTATTACTGTTGATATGCTCACTAGATATGCTGGCGACATTTGGAAACTACATTGAAATTGCAGGATTAACTGATGGACACAATCGAGCCACTGAAGAAATACCGGACAACGTTCATTGGGATCGTCACCGCCAATCATTTGACCACATCGATCCGCGAACTTGTGTCCGAAGTCTAACCATTCTCTCTCAACTAAAACTTGAAAGCCCTAAAATAAAGCAATAAAAATCAGAATGTTATAAAATTATATATAGAACGATACTGAGAGAAAGCACTTGGTCGTTTGTTGTTGTTCAAAAATGTTGTATACCTCCATAGTACGATAATATGGATCGAGTAGTATCTGGGCTAACGCGACAATTTGGGGAGTTCTGTCCCACCCATCGCTACAATGCACTAATACTGGACGACCGTCTCTCTCAATCGCGGATGCGACAGTGACCGCTGCCCGCAACAAACCCGACATATGCTGCAACCATCGTGTTCCTTCCAGCAAACTTAACCAACTGTAAAATTGGGTTGATAAGAAAATTCAGATAAAGAAGAATTTCAAGAACAAACGACATATAAATCTGAGAATAAACTCACTTTGGTTGATCCGCATCTGATGCGCAAAGCTGTCGCACCGCATGAAAACTCTTCCGTATTGAATGAATATTTGGCAAATTCATAAATTGTATGTCACAGCTCGGATAATACTCGGGACACTCGCAGCCACCGCCGCGTGCCCGATTTGCCACAGCGGTTGTGTACGATCTGGCATCAACAATTAAAACTTTCTGTAAAGAGAAAATTATTTATATAAAACGTGGGACAGAATTGTATGCCTAAATGATTTATACTAATATTTAATTCTCTTTTGTTCTCTTCTTCTTTTCATTTAATTTCTTATTACGACGCCTTTGGTAAATATAAAAATATCAACGGTAAATTATTTTTTTCTTACATTAAATTACATTGAAGTAAATTAATTTTCTACAATCAGTAAGAATGTTTCTCAGTGTTAAAAAATTAACATTAAAAACTCAAAGATTACTGAATTATAATTATTAATGTTGTGTACTTATTAATGCAGAATAATAAAAAGATGAGTGTTAAAGTATACTTCATTATTATTTAATAAAACTGCAATGAAGAAAAGAACCGCAAAAGTTTGAATTGGTCCGACTGGTTAAAATCCTCTTACTTTGGCAGCACTTGGCATCTCATCACCAGCGTCGGAATATGTAATAGGCGAATCTACGATAGTAGATTCACCTTTATCGTAGCTACACGCATCCGCAAGAGCTTTTAAAAGGTCTTCGTCCTCGGAACTTCTCCAGCCAAGCCAACCGACTTCTGGTTGACTACTGCGAGCTATCACGGCGCCATTATTCACGTGTCTAACAACCCACAATTGCAATAATAAGATAGATGACATTTATTACAAGTACTATTATATAAAAGAGAAAATAAAGACCTCCAGACGATAGCCGGAATTCTTCTGGAACTTCGAAATTTGGCAACAAATTCGAGGGTTTCGTCGGAAATGCAAGCGGGAACTAGAAGCTGCGGCGGATAGGATGGACACATCCTATAGTCCTTATTTATTTGGCTTATGCGCCATGTACCATGCAAATTAAATTTCAATCGCTCCACCTAGAATATATATATAATTTTATGTAGAGTAAAAATGTTTACAAACATTTAAGAAGCACTAGTCGATTTTTACCACCTCTACAACACCAAAACTTATATCTCGACGAAGATCTTTCAATCTACAGCAGCTAATAAATCCGAAAAAAACGGCTCACACTTTACAACTGTAATGATTTGCGTTGCGAGCGATCTTTATCCTTTGACTTTATATCTAAATTATATTTTATACTCTATTTATTTTATACACTGAAGATGGCCTAGAGAAAGGCCGAAACGTTTGTATTTTTATGTTTTAAATATATGAGAATTTTATCATTGTGACACTAACGTCTAGTCAAGGCTCTTAGCCCTTTTATTCATTGATTGATTTAAGAAGCAATCTTACCTCTGAATTAAAAGTAGCGATATAAGAACTGCTATCTTTTCCGAGCCTAGGATAATCTTTGCCATCTTCTATAGACCATGCATAGTATGCAAACGCAAAGATATCCTCTATACTTTTTCGCGGATAGGTCACTTTGTGCAATCGTTTGAACCACTCCAAACAGTGCTCGTTTGTGGTAAACGCACAACTGAAATATCAACATTTTTAATACAGTTTAATAATTTGGTACGTTCTTGACCGCCGTATAAATCTGTTATACGCAATGTTTAGTGAACTTAGAGGAGGAGCAGGTGACAAATTTCATATCTGTATGGACATAAAATGTATCTATATATTATAAATACCTCAAAGAACGTGCATCCTTGCATCCAATGTGCAAATAAAATATTTCCTTGACCTCCAATTGTTCGATAAGACCCAGAGGTATGTTGTAACATGTCTGACTTAGTTGTAAATAAAGCCTATAATTGGAAAGTGCCAGAACACCATCCGTTGTCCGCCCCAGTGCCACGACCGACTCTCCACTCAGTGGTGTAAACGGGATTGTCAGTGTTTCGTCCTCGCATTCAAAATGTGTGTGCTTAGGGAACAACTCCGAGGCATGTAAATGGCATATGGACTGCAAACTGGTTGGTTCTTCGGAACTCTCCATGTTTTCGTTCTACAACTTAAATTTATCCTTGATGTTAACTTAATAACATATACTATATTTATTTATTTTTATTTATGTATACACGTTAAGCTCTAATCTCTGAGTAGATTAAAAATGTTGACGGTCATTGTGTTATCTCTATCGTATTGTATCATTCTTTATATCAGTAATACAATCCAATCCAAAGTCAAACTTACTTAACACGAGCTAAGTGACTACCTGGTATCTCAAGTTAAAATGTTCTGGCTCCTGTAACAAAATGACAACTTGTAAAATATATTATCGTAATAACATATACTTTATCTCTATGCATAGTTTAAGGCCGATGGCAGGGAACGATCCGTAAACGCTTAAGACTGTCATAGATCGTAGATCTAATCTTAGTCGTAGACGTAAGGCAAGGCAGAGAGAAACTTGAGTCGTGAAAGTCTATTGTATACAACTCAAGTTTTTCTCTGCCTTGCCTTACGTCTACGACTAACAATAAGACAGTCTTAAGCGTTTACGAATCGCTCTCCGTCATCAACCTAACCTAATTTACATTGCCAGGAACTTTTGGTGCCGCTTTCGAAAATAATGACACCAATAAATTCCTTATCGCAATAAAGGCGAGAAGATACTCATTGATAATATTAAAAGATACGCTTTTAATTTTGTACTTATCCAAAATATTTAAATAATTTACAGTTCCACTCTATGGTTGTCGCACATTTATAATATTTCACATACAGTATGTACCAATGTTGATTACCAATTCCAATTAACTTTTTTCCATGTTATCACATAGGTGGGACTGTCCACAATTTAAAAAAAAACAGTAACTACGGTCTTCGAAATCTGAATACGATTATTCCATATCCTGACTGAAATAATACTCTTCACGATTTGTTTCTACAGGACGCTTAACTTATCAAATCGACTATCAAATTAATCAGGTATGCTATTTCTACTTCAGCGTTTCAGGCTATCGATGCACAGTTTGGTGTGTTGAAAAAAAGATGCGCACGCAAAATATATCAAGGTATCCACAATCAGATCTTATGGTTAAAATCGTCTTAAGCTGGTCTTATGTTGTTTTTTTTGTTTCTCCCTTTACAGGAACGCAGTAGACACTTTTGGTCGTTTGGCGTATACTCTACCCTTGGTGTTCCCGATTCTTACTATCTTCCCACGAGTTTTGTCTTCTTCTTGGTCCACCTTTGTGGCTACCTCACTTTCTTATTTTCTCTCGATTCTGCCTATTTCGACTACTCTCCTCTAAAGCGTCGTCTACAACACGTGGAGTAAGCTTGGCGCAAGAAGACTGGGTGAAGAGAGCTACTGCCCGTTTAAGAAAGCCGGAGTAAGGGCGTAAGCGAAACGAATTATTTGTATTTCTCACGCTTATTCTTACGCTTACGCTCTTAAATATAAGATCCGACTACAAATACCGTTCTAAGATCCACCGCATTAGGCGTTTCTTTACGTATTATTTGTGCCGCAAGTATTATTTCATTTTCAAACACCGAGCGCAGTGTCGCCCGTTTATTCTTTCGATTTCTACGCTCGCGCGATACTCTCCTTCTTATCGATGCCTGAATACATACGTTTGTCGCGGAAAAAAGTGCCACTTAACGCAGCCGAAATGGTAAACCTATTATTGCGTCTTCCTGTCTCTCGATCTACAGTTCGCGAGACAACGTCGAGCACGCATCGCGGCCGCGCGCGAACATTTCAGTTTGCTCCGCGTCTTCGCGACTCCTCGCCTCTCGCTCTTGTCATTGTGCAGCGGAGGGATAGCTCGGCGACATGTGTCAGCCTTGAGACGCGTATCGCATACGGTACGTAATTATTCGCCCTTTCTCTCTCTCTCTCTCTCTCTCTCTCTATCTCGAGAGAAAAAGAGACACACACGCGCACGCACACACAGAGTGTATAATTATTTACGATATTACATGAGTGTAGATTCGCTTTTTACTCACTTTTGAATTTTGAGATATCTCACACAACGGACACGCACGTAATTGTGTTCCAAGGATGTGTGAGTGTATATATATATATATATATATATACTCCTCTTTTTTCTCCTTTAGTCTCGCACGAAATTCACGAACCGAATGCTGCGGGACGCCACGCACTAACGACGCTGCCCCGCGACGCGGCGCATCGCCTTCACGGGCAGCACCGCGACGGAGGAGTGCCAGGAACGCGAATGTGTACAGGCGTAGGTTGAACGAGAACAGCAGGCGCTTGGTAGTGGTGGTGACTACGGCGACGATCAGTTCTCATTACTGCGGCTGGCAGCTCATAGCAGCATGCGCGGCTCCGTGTCGTCACACGCTTTATCGAAAGTCCAAACGTTCGTACCCACGTATGTATGTATGTACGTATACGTTCGCACTTCGCGAGGCCGAACGCGCAACCCCGTCGCGTTTGCATACAACCCGAGTCGCGGAAAGACGCAGCGATATCGATATCCTCGAAAATGAGAGTCTTCCGAGCTGAATCTGCGAAACTCAGGCGCAATCACACTTCAACATGAAAGCTGTATGCCAAGTAAACGTTCTAGAACATATGTATCTACCGATAGAACTAAAAATCTATAGCATACGTAACGTAAACTGTATTCAGTACTGCCAATGTCACATTCACAGTATAACCAGGGCTACGTTCAGAAACGTTATACCCGAATGCCCCAGTGTATCATTGGCCGCGTTCAGCAGACACAACGGGGGTGCGTTCTTTTAGGGTACTATTACATTTGTCGTACGACAAATGTAATAGTACCCTTAGGGTACTATTACATTTGTCGTACGACAAATTTTTCAAACGTGTCGATTGGCCGCTGAATAGAAAGTTTCTAGATACTCAAGAA